GATAACTGCTGATCCACGTTTGCTGTTGTTGCTGGTTGCAGCACGTTATGAAATAAATGTAGGTGCTGATAACAGTGGAAGAATGGTTAAAGAAATGTAGTTTAATTTCATAATGGGAGCCAAGTGGTAGTGTCACATGCCTTAGATCCTAGCACTCAGGAATCCAACACAGGCAGATCTCTGTGAGATCGAGGCCAGCCTGGTCTACAAGAGCTAGTTTAGGACAGGCTCCAAAAGCTACAGAGAAACCCCATCTCTGAAAACCAAACACACAAACAAAGAAATATACAATGGACTTCCCAGCCATAAATGTGAAGCTGTGTCACTTGCTAGAAATCAGTGTAACTTGAAATAATCATAATAAATCATTCAAGTCAGTCTCCAATAATCAGCTATCACATATTTTCTCTCACTTCTGGTTTGACATATATATGAGTGTGTAGACATATATCTGTCTGTACATATATGTATACATATGTGTGTGTATGTTCTTAGAATATATATTCAGATGTTTATATATGTGAAAACAAGGGCTACTAACAGGAAGAGTAAATGATGAGAAAAATGTGTGAGAGGAGTAGGGTGTGGAATACACTCAAAATTACATTTTATGTTTGTATAAAAATGCCATCAATGCCAAGTATCATATATTATGAATACACACTATTATATTCTGAACAAAACTGGTCCCCAGAGGCTCATATATTTGAATACTTGGTCCTTAGTTGTTGGAAATGTTTGGGAAAGACTAGGAGGCATGGCCTTATTGGAGGGAATATGTTACTGGGGACAGACTTGATTGTTTCAAGAGATGCCCGTCATTCCCAGTGTGTTTCTCTCTCTATGCATTCTCTTTGTAGAAAATGATGTGAATTCTCAGCTTCTGTCTCTGCCATTATGCCTTTGCCCCACCATTATGGACTCTAACCCTCTAAATCTGTAAGTCAGTTAAACATTTTTTGTTATAAGTTGCCTTGGTTTGGTGTGTTATCACATCAATAGAAAAGTAAATAAGGCATAGATAAATGAAAATAAGAATTATGTATTTCCAAATTGCAAATACAAGTCATGTCTGGTTTTTATATATCTACAGTGTCACTAACTAACAGGTGTTGGTAAGATCATTATGTTTTTTTCTGCTCTTGCAAGACACAGAAAATAAGTGTAGCCTCAGACCTTATCAGACAAGTTTTTTTTTTTTGCATTGGACAATTGTTAATGCAGAAGTTCACAAAAATTCAAACTGTAGAGAGTGAGTCACTGTGGAATCCCCAGCCAAAAATGTGACATCTATACTTTGACACCCCACCACTGAGGCTCAGAAACAATCATAGACGAGGTTGGGGAAAGATTCTAAGAACACAAAATATTGAGTAAAACATCATCTTCTGGACATGAGAATTGCTCACTTGAGCTCACAGAAGCTGTGACAAGACCTATACAGGATCAAACCAATCAATCTTCTAGCATGGGAACTGGAAAGGGTCTGTAAGCCTCCCTTTTAATTGAGAAGTTATTGAGAGTTGAGGGCTTTAGGGGATGGAAATCTCATTTTGACCAGATTTCAATGGATGGTCCTCACACTCATGAGGAGACAGACATCACCAATTTGATTTGGTATATTGTTTTTAAAAGGAAACAGAAGAGATATAAAGTTGAGGAGATATTGGGCCAGAAGATCTAGGAGCTGATGGAGGATGAAAAATAGAAGGAGTGGATGTGATCAAAATAAACCTGTATGAAATCCTCTATGAATTAATAAAACACATTAAAGTGAATTAATGTATATGGTTAAAAGATCAGATATACAGTAAGATGTTTTCTTATGAGGAAAGTTCGGCCTGTTCATTGTTTTATATGTCTATAATTTGTGGTGTTATTCGTACTATTACAGTGTGAATCTCTCTATAGGGATATTTTGTTTATGTTTGAACAAATGCAGCTTGCCAAAAGATCAGAGTCCAGAGTTAAGTCACTAGAGCTCAGAGAAAAGTGGCACACACCTTTGATTACAGAACTCGGGAGGCATAGGTAGAGTGATCTCTGTTAGTTCAAGGCCATCCTGGGTTACTCAAGTTTGAATCTGTCTAAGAGAAAAAAAGCTCACACGAAGGTGACCCCACCACTTGGGATCACACACCTTTAATCCCAGCACTAGTGAGGTAGGACAGGAGTGATATGTCTGGGTAGAGTGAGGAATCTAAAGCAGGAGAAAGGAACACTGCAGTCTGAGGTTTATTGGGGATACCTATCATCTGAAGATCGAACCTGTGGTCAAGGATGAAGTCTGAGGAGAGAGTCTAAGGACAGGATCACCCCTTTTGTCTGAGAATTGGTAGAAGCAAAAGAATTCTCTAGTAGCTGGTTGCTCTGCTTTTCTGATCTTTAGCATTAACTCCCATATCTGACTCTGGGTTTTAATTATTAATAACAATTAGCATTCATACTACATCTCTCAAATTTAAATAGTAATATATGATGAGGTATCTGATTTAGACTTTTACCTTATGCTATTTCTAGATATTAAGAAAAGTTTGGAAGAGGCTCAGCTGGTGCAATCCTTATAGAATGTGGGAGTTTCTCTTGCATTGGGCTTCTACCCAAATCTGTAAAGTTTTCCTTTCCAGTCATCTCAGTACTCTCTCTGCCCACCCCCAACCCTATCCCACAAGTTCCCATGCCCACTTGACTCCCATGTCCACCCAGGAGATCTCTTCTATTTTCTCTTCTCAAGGAGATCCATATGCTCCCCGCTTGGGCCCTCCTTTCTATATAACCTTTCTAGGGCTTTGGATTATAGCAAGATTATCATTTACTTTACAGTAAATATCTACAATGAATGAGTACATACCATGTTTGTATCTCTAAGTCTGGGATACCTCAATCAGAATGATTTTTTCTTCCATCCGTTTGCCTTCAAATTTCCAGGTGTCATTGTTTTTGACAGTCAAGTTTCCATGTGCAAAAGTATCATACTTATTCATGCATTCTTCAATTGAGGGACACCTAGGTTGTTTTCAGTTTCTGACTATTACAATAAAGCTATTCTGAACATAGCTGAGCAAGTGTCCTTGTGGTATCATTGAGTATCCTTTGGGTATATGGCCAAGAGTAATACAGCTGGGCCTTGAGTTAGACCTATTTCAAATTTTCTGAGAAGCTGTTACATTGATTTCCTCATCCTTCCATTTTTTCTCTCTCCTACCCAAAACACATTCATTTTCTGTTTTGAGGGCTGTTGCTTCCTCCTCTCACTACAGTGCTCTGCCTTCTAACATTTAATCTTCCATAAATAAAGAATAGTTTTATTAAATATGAATATTAGAATGAAGTAACAAAACTCAACCTTTAGAACAATGCTAATTTCTTTTTCCTGCTGTGGGAACTAATGGTGAAAAGTCATTGTAAATTATACAGAACTAGTCCTTTCTGAAAATTACATTTATTTATTTGTGAGTATACATGTCACAGAACACCTGTGGAGGCCAGAGGACAACTTTATGGAATTGGTTTTCTCCTTCCAAAATGTGGGTCCTAGGAATTGACCTCAGGTATCCACGCATGGCTGCAAGCATCTGTACCTTCTGATTCCTAGTTTATTTCTTAATAATTCTACAATTTCACCACACACACATCGTGCATCTGTGTATGCATGTATAGTAGTTTTTACATAAAAAGTAACAACTAGGAAGTGACCTGGGTGAGAATGATTTTGAATAGATGTTTTTAGATGGCAAGCTACTTCTCCAGTCAATAAAAGAAAAACAATAGAAATCCAGAGGCAGTATGAATGTTTGGTGTGACAGGCAAAACAAACCTACTTGCTAATTGGCATGGATCAGAAGCTGTAAGAGCAAAGCAGAAAAGAAAATGATTTAGTTAAATGTATTAGAGCAGTTTCTCAACCTTCAGATTGTAAAACCTTTGGTGGTTGAATGACCCTTTCAAAGCATTGCCTCAGACCATCAGAAAACTCAGATATATATTTTATGATTCATAACAGTAGCAAAATTACAGTTATAAAGTAGCAACAAAAATAATTTTATGGTTAGGGTTCACCACTGAAGGCCATGGTCGATCGGTAGTTAAAAATTAACCAGACTAGCTTAACATAAAAGATTTAGCTTTAATGAACAGAAGAAAGGAAAACTTACAAAATCAGGGTTCCAGCAATCCGGGGACATAGGGGGCAAAAGAGAGGAAGCAGCAAGCACACATGAATCTTTTAGTTATTTTGTGTGGCCCCAGGGGGACACACCCTAAGCAGAATGTGATTGGCTGAAGTTCCCCATCATCTCCCTCTTTGTCTAAACAAGACTGAACAAAACCCAATACAACTCTATACAGTAGGAATAGATACCAAATATATAATTATAAACAACAAACAATATTAAGCAAGAAACATGCAACAAAAGTTTTGCTAAGGAGTCTAAATAACATCGAGGGTAACTATAACTATCAAATCTTCAACCCCATCAAAGATCTGAGAAGGGAAGTAATTTTACTTCAGCATCTAGGAAGTACAAATGAGAAACTTCCAAAATGTGTAACAAATGACAGAGACAACTAATTACCTGGGCAATCACCCAGAATTTCATTTGTAATGTTGAGGCAACCTACTTTGGCTAAGGCCTAACATAATTGACATACCATTTTTAAAGGCAAGGAACTTTTTAGAATTATCTTATCCTGTCTTGGCAGGATAAGACAATCCTGTTTTTATCCATTTATGGATACTCTGTAACTCTGTCAGTGGTAGAGGTATGAGCTTTTCTTTGCCCAAAGGCCAGTTCTGCCAAGAAGAAGACAAGCTCCAAGTGGAGTGTCTTTGGTGCCCAACATTCTCTCGGGAGTAGAGCTTTGTTCCCAGGAGTGATTGTGTTTCGTTAACACGGAACTCGAGGTTAGATTAAAGGCCATTTTTGTGGCTCTTCGAAGAGGCTGAAGATTATACTATCTATACTAAATATAATCTCTATGTATCTAAAGAACCTGATTAGTCTAAATATAAATATGACAGACATATATGACTATTGATTTATAATTCTCAATACCTGTGAAATTTGAACTAAGAGAATAAACAACTGTATTAAAGGGTCAGAGCAATAGTAAGTTTGAGAACCAGGAAGTAGAATTAAGTGCATGAGCAATGTGAGGGCAGAGAAACAGTGTGTGCAGTTCACCATATACCCCTGCTTTCTAGAAACACACATCCACCTAATGACAATGTATTACTGCTCTCTGTTCACTCAGCTCTTTCTCCATCTACAAGGATGGTACCCTCAACACTCTTTTCAGCTTCATAGAGGCTCATAATTCCACTGGTTCCAAGTACAGGGCATGGGGACATGAGCCAGCCTGGCAACCACTCTCTGCATGGTGAAGTTGGCTCTATCCACATGTCCATACATGGGGAAGTCAAGATCATCTAAAGTCTGAATCTGGTGAGAGGCAACATGGTAAATGAGACCCTGGTTCCGGTACTGAGGCAAGGTGCCTGCCATTCTCATTTCTCCAGTGTGGTCCATCAGGCCCCAAGACACAGGAATCCCCTCAGGCCCCATAATACAGGAGCTGGGGAAGGTGTGGATACAGCGCTCAATAAACTTCTGACTTTTCTCATTGCCACCAAAATGCCAGATGCTATTCACCAACGCAGCATGTGTAACATTCAGGGAGGTGAATTTGAACAATTCTTGATTACTGTTGGGAACAAGAGGAAAGAGCAGCCCTTAGTCACATAGGTTATGAATAATTGTATTTATTTTCCCATAAATGTCCACAATAGTCAGACAGTAGAATCACGAAGACTGTGTGCTCTGTAGCCAGACTACCTGAGCTCCTGTCAACACTGTGTGGATGAAATGTTGGTTAATTGTTTTTCACCTTTTGTGTTTCCCTATCTGGTGAGTAGGGCTAATAAGAAACTTGCAATATAGACTTAACACGTTAGTGTGATGGGGGCTCAGATTCAGTGCCTAACAGATAGCAAAAGTGCTCCAGGAAACATTTGCTGCTTTTTGCCCATGACTCAGCTAGGGAGTTCAAATATGATCTTCCACTGAGACAGCTTAAATATGATCAGTCTTGTTTTATGTAAAAGGAAACACTTTTGTGAACAAGCAAACTTCCCAAAATACATGGAGCAAGCAGAAAAGCCAAAGTTCAGAATTATAGAATTTGGTATCTTGCAGACCTAAGGCATTGCGTTGAAAAAAGATAAAGTCACCTCTTGCAGAAGATTCATCATTGGGGTGAGTTTGCTCTGACCCGTGGCAGAAGCCCCACAAAGAGGAGCTCAGACATCCCTGGTCCCCCTTGACTCCCTGGCAACCCTTCAGGGGCTAAGCCCTCTCGCCTCCTAGCCCATCCCACCTTTCATCCAAAAACCCCTTCCTTTATTCCTCCCTTCCTCCTCGGGGCCATAAAATCACCCAGCTCAGCCAGCTTGCAGGCTGGGTCTGGGCTGGAAGTGTAACACTGCAGGAAGGAGTGCCTGTGATTCAATAGCCTGCCTGCCGGTGGTGGAAAGGTAGGTACTGCATCAGCTCAGCAAGAATCCTGGCCAACAAGGGGTGCTGATCCTCTAGCAGAAGATTCATCAGAGGGGGGAACCTGACCCAATACCAAAATATCCATTAGAGAACATTTGAAGGAACAGATGGGCAGACACCAAGGCAAGAATTCCTCCAACAATCTGAAAAACAACCTGAAAACACCAGATCCCAGCGATCTTACTACAGAAAGACAAGAACACCCTGTTCCGGAAGAAGTGGAAAACAGTGTCATTATGAAAGCAATAAAGTCCTTTTAACAGAGTATGAATAACTCACTTAAAGAAGTGAAAGAGAAGTATAACAAAAAGTTTGAAGAAATGAGTAAATCCGTAAATGACACCCTGGGAAACCAAGAAACAAACAATCAAACAGGTAATGGAAACAGTTTAAGAATTGAAAGCTGAAATGGAGGCAAAGAAGAAAACACAAACTGAGGGCCGGCTGGATAAGGAAAATTGAGGTAAACAAACAGAGACTTCAGAAACAAGCATAACCAATAGAATACAAGAGATAGAAGAACGAATCTCAGATTATGAAGACACCATAGAGAAAATAAACGCTCTGACCAAAGAAAACAGGAAATCCAACAAATTTTCATCACAAACATTCAGGAAATCTGGGACATAATAAAAAAAACAAATCTAAGAATAATAGGGGTAGAAGAAGGAGAAGAATTGCAGATCAAAGGTTCAGAAAATTTAATCAACATAATTATAGAAGAAAACTTTCCCAACCTAAAGAACGATATTCCTATGAAAGTTCAAGAAGCATACAGAACACCAAATAGACTGGATAAAAAAAAATCTCCTCGCCATATAATAATCAAAACACAAAGAATTCAGATTAAAGAAAGAGTATTAAGAGCTGAAAAGGAAAAAGGTCAAGTAACTTATAAAGGTAAACCTATCAGACTTACACCAGACTTCTCTATGGAAACCATGAAAGCCAGAAGATCCTGGATAGAGGTACTGCAGAAACTAAGAGACTATGGATGCAAACCCAGACTACTATACCCAGCCAAGCTATCATTCACTATCAATGGAGAAAACAAAATATTCCAGGATAAAAATAAATTGAAACAATTCATAGCGACAAATCCCGCCTTACAGAAGGTATTAGAAGGAAAATCACAATCCAAGAAATCCAACATTCCCAACACTGCCTACAATAACTAAGACAGCTAGCGACCCTTCACAAGCACAACTCAAAGAAGGGAAACACATGCACTCTACTACCCACCCAAAAAAATAACCAGAGTCAACAACCACTGGTCATTAATATCACTTAATATCAAGGGACTCAATTCACTTATTAAAAGGCACAGACTAAGAGATTGGATACCAATCTCTGTTGGGATACAGGACCCAACATTCTGCTGTTTACAAGAAACACACCTCAACCACAAAGACAGACATCTACTCAGAGTAAAGGGTTGGGGAAAGGTTTTCCAAGCAAATGAACCTAAGAAACAAGTGGGTGTGGCCATTCTAATATCTAACAAAATCGACTTCAAACTAAAATCAATCAGAAGAGAAGGAGATGGATATTTCATACTCATAACAGGAACAATCCATCAGGAAGAAGTCTCAATCCTGAATATTTATGTCCCTGATATAAAGCCACCCACTTTTGTAAAAGAACCACTTTTAGAACTCAAGGCAGTCATCAAACCACACACACTAATAGTAGGAGACTTCAACACTCCTCTCTCACCAATGAACACGTCAATCGGACTGAAACCTAACAGAGAAATAAGAGAATTATTGGAGGTATTGAATCAAATGGACTTAACAGACATCTATAGAACATTCCACCCAAACAGGAAAGAATATACCTTCTTCTCTGCAGCTCATGGAACCTTCTTGAAAACTGACTACATACTCGGTAACAAAGCAAACATCCACAGATACAAACTCATGGAAGTTGAACAGTCCACTACTAAACCATCCCTGGGTCAAGAAAGAAATAAAGAAAGAAATTAAAGTCTTCCTTGAATTTAATGAAAATAAAGACACAACATACTCAAACCTATGGGACACTATGAAAACTGTGCTAAGAAGAAAGTTCATAGCGATAAGTGCCCAATTAAAGAAAACAGAAAAAGCACACATGGGAAACTTAACAGCACACTTGAAATCTCTAGAAAAAAAGAAGCTGATTCACCCAGAAGGAGTAGAAGACTGGAAATAATCAAACTGAGGGCTGAAATCAACAAAATAAAAACACAGAAAACAATCCAAAGAATCAATGAAACAAAAAGTTTGTTCTTGGAGAAAATCAACAAGATAGGCAAACCCCTATCCAAACTAATCAAACGGCAGAGAGAGAACATGCAAATTAATATGAACAGAAATGAAAGGGGGGACATAACCACAGACACAGAGGAAATTCAGAGAATCATTAGATATTACTACAAAAGGCTGTATGACACAAAATTGGAAAATGTAAAAGAAATGGACATTTTTTTAGATAAGTACCATATACCAAAGTTGAACCAAGACCAGGTGAACAATCTAAATAGACCTGTCAGTTGTGAAGAATTGGAAGCTGTTATCAAAAATCTCCCTACCAAAAAAAGCCCAGGTCCAGATGGTTTAAATGCAGAATTCTACCAGAACTTCCAGGAAGAGCTAATACCTATACTTCTTAATGTATTTCACAATATAGAAACAGAAGAGTAATTGCCAAACTCTTTTGATGAAGCTACAGTTACCCTGATAGCAAAATCACACAAAGACACAACCAAGAAAGAGAATTACAGGCCAATCTCACTCATGAACATTGACGCAAAAATTCTCAATAAAATCCTGGCAAACCGAATTCAAGAACACATTAGAAAAATTATCCATTATGATCAAGTCGGCTTCATTCCAGAGATGCAGGGCTGGTTCAACATACACAAATATATCAATGCAATCCATCATAAAAAAAACTGAAAGAGAAAAACCATATGATCATTTCAGTGGATGCTGAAAAAGCATTTGACAAAATTCAACATCCCTTTATGATAAAGGTGTTGGTGCAATCAGGGATACAAGAATCATACCTAGATATAACAAAAGTGTTTACAGCAAGCTGACAGCTAACATCAAATTGAATGGAGAGAAACTCAAAGCCATTCCACTAGAATCAGGAACATGACAAGGCTGTCCACTCTCTCCATACCTCTCCAATACAGTGCTTGAATTTCCATCAATAGCAATAAGACAACATAAGGGGATCAAGGGGATTCAAATTGGAAGGATGAAGTTAAACTTTCATTATTTGCAGACAATATGATAGTGTATATAAGTGACCCCAAAAACTCTACCAAAGAACTCCTACAGCTGATAAACACCTTTAGTAATGTGGCAGGATACATGATCAACTCCAAAAAATCGGTTGCCCTCCTATACACAAAGGATAAAGAAGCAGAGAGGGAAATCAGAGAAACATCACCTTTCACGATAGCCACAAATAGCATAAAATATCTTGGGGTTACTCTAACCAAGGAAGTGAAAGACCTATTTGACAAGAACTTTAAGACATTGAAGAAAGAAATTGAGGAGGATATCAGAAAATGGAAAGACCTCCCCTGCTCTTGGATTGGGAGAATCAACATAGTAAAAATGGCAAGTCTACCAAAAGCAATCTATAGATTCAATGCAATCCCCATCAAAATCCCATCAAACTTCTTCACAGACCATGAGAGAACAATAATCAAGTTTATATGGCAAAACAAAAAATCCAGGATAGCCAAAACAATCTTATACAATAAAGGAACTTCTGGAGACATTACCATCCCTGACTTCAAACTCTAGTACAGAGCGACATTATTGAAAATTATGGAATCAAATAGAAGACCCAGATATTAACCAACAAACCTATGAACACCTGATTTCGACAAGGGAGCTAAACGTATACAATGGAAGGAGGAAAGCATCTTTAACAAATGGTGCTGGCATAACTGGATGTCAACCTGTAAAAAAATGAGAGTAGATTCATATCTATCACCATGCACAAAACTCAAGTCCAAATGGATTAAAGACATCAACATTAATCTGACCACTTTGAACCTGATAGAAGAGAAAGTGGGAAGTAGTCTACAAGATATAGGCACAGGAGACCACTTCCTAAGTAGAACCCCAGTAGCACAGACAATAAGAGAAACAATGAATAAATGGTACCTACTGAAACTGAGAAACTTCTGTAAAGCAAAGGACACTGTCAGCAAGACAGAAAGGCTACCTTCGGACTGGGAGAAGATCTTCACATACCCCTCATCAGACTAAGGTCTGATCTCCAAAATATGCAAAGAACTCAAGGAACTAGACACTAAAACGCCAATTAACCCAATTATAAATGGGGTACTGAACTGTACAAAGAATTCACAACAGATGAACTTCGAATGGTCAAAAGGCATTTAAGGTCATGCTCAACCTCCTTAGCAATCAGAGAAATGCAAATCAAAACAACTTTGAGATACCATCTTACACCTGTCAGAATAGCCAAACTCAAAAACACCAATGATAGCCTATGCTGGAGAGGATGTGGAGCGGGGGAACACTCATCCATTGTTGGTGGGAATGCAAACTTGTGCAGCCACTGTGGAAATCAGTGTGGCGGTTTCTCAGGAAATCGGGAGTCAGTCTCCCTCAGGACCCAGCAATTCCACTCTTGGGAATATACCCAAGAGATGCCCTATCATACTACAAAATCATTTGTTCAACTAGATTCATAGCTGCACTATTTTTAATAGCCAGAACATGGAAACATCCTAGGTGTCCCTCAATAGAAGAATGGTTAAAAAAAGGTGTTAAACATATACTCATTAGAGTTCTACTCAGCGGTAAAAAACAATGACATCTTGAATTTTGCATGCAAATGGATGGAAATAGAAAACGCTTTACTGAATGAGGTAACCAGACCCAAAAAGAGGAATATGGTGTATACTCACTCATAAGTGGATTCTAGCCATAGTTAAAGGTCTTTGAGCCTATAATTCATGATCCTAAAAATGCTAAATAAGAAGGTGAACCTGAAGAAATTCATATAGTTATCCTCCTGGAGTTTGGAAGTAGACAAGATTGCCAGACAAACTTGGGTGCACGCGGGTGGGGGTGGAAGTAAGGGGAGATGGTTAGAGAGAAGGGAGAGGGGGAGGATTGGTGATGACTTGGGGGAATGGGATGGGGGGGAGGGAGGAAGGATGGATATGGGAGCAGACAAGTATATATCTCAACTAAGGAAGCCATTTTAGGGTTTGCAAAAGACTTGATTCTGGAGGGGTTTCCAGGCCCAAGGAGAGGTGCCCAGATTGTTCCCTGGGCAGCAGAGAAGAGGGTGCCTTGGCCCATAACCGTACTGATGAATATTTTGCATATCACCATAGAACCTTCATCTGGCGATGATGGAGATAGAGACAGAAACACATATTGGTACACTGGACTTATCTCCCTAGGTCCAAATGAGAAGCAGGAGGGATAACGTGAGCAAGAAAGGCAGGACCAGAAGGAGCCTTCATCTGATGATAGATGGAGATAGAGACGGAGACCCACACTGGAGCACTGGACTGAGCCCCCAAGGTCCAGATGAGGAGCAGAAGAAGGGAGAACATGAAAAAGGAAATCAGGTCCGCTAGGGGTGCCTTCACCCACTAATACAAGGGGACTGATCGAATGAGAGCTCACCAAGGCCAGCTGGACTGGGACTGAACGAGCATGTGATCAAACCGAAGTCCCTAAATGTGGCTGACATGGGGGCTGACTGAGAAGCCATTGACAGTTGCACTGGATCTTGTTTTGTCTGCATGTATTGGATTTTTGGTATCCTAGTCTGTTTGGATGCTCACCTTTCTAGACCTGGAGGGAGAGGGGAGGAACTTGAACTTCCCATAGGGCAGGAAACCCTGACTGATCTTAGGACTAGAGAGGGAGTGGACAGGAGGAGGAGAGGGAGTGGGGGGAATGGGAGGGTGTGGGGAGTAGGGGAGGAAGTGAAAATTTTTATAAACAAATAAATAAATTAATTAAAATAAAGATAAAGTCAAGTGCATAGATTCGCAGCAATGTGGAATGAAGATAGCCCACATTACTGAGTCTGATGCCTGAAGACACCTGCAACAGTGTGGGAGGCTCAGGAGTCATTTTGGAATGAGCTCTGTAGGTGGAGCTAGATACTCTTTTTTCAACTCTGGTCCACTCATCCATGTGCTAAGCAAACTATTCCACCACTAGTATTTATTTTCTGTCAAGAGATTGGGCTAACTTTAACTAGTACAAAAGTTCCCAGTAGCTTCTAGATAGGAGTATTCCCCAGGTTGCCATGTAGTATACAGAACAGGGTGCTTCCAAGGAGGAAAATTCCAAAAAGGGCTTTAGAATTGAGCATCCTCAAGTCACATACTCATTGCTGGCTTCTGGTTCTCTTCAGCATTATGTTAAACATAAATAGGGACAATGTAAACTGTGTTCAAAATATTTTTATTAGGGAACAGTTATTGCATGAAGAGAATTCACTGAACACTGTATGCCAGCTCCTGATGATCCTAACTCTTGCAGGATTTTCATTATTGGTAGAGGATAAATCAATCATCAAATTTGTAGAATAAATTGACTAGTTTCAAATATTCATGAGTGCTATGAGTAAAATAAATGTGAACCCTGTGCAGTGGTGACTTTTAATGAAGTGTTTTACCCAGGACTCTGATGAAGTAACTTGTGAGCTGATCTGAATAACAAAATAAGTCATTACTGTAAAGACTGATGTGCAGAGGAGAGAAGTTTTAGACAGAGGGGAGCTAATCTTGGAGACCTGAGCTTGTGAACATCAAGTTGAAATTGCAGCTAAGCTATGGCATAGCATCAGTACCTTCTGCATTTAGTTCCAACACTAGAAACAATATTAAATCATTCACATCATGCTTCATGTCAACTAGCCAATATTACAGTGTTAATTGACTTTCTGAGAGAGAGAAGGAAAGAGCAAGAGTGTGAACTAGTGAGTGAGCAAAAGAGAGAGATAAGAGAATTTGAATGAGGGTCCCTTTCCTCTAAATCTAACCAAAATAATTAACATGAAGTAAACTGATGTGAAGCAATCTGTCAAATTCTAATGTGTTTCTTCCTTTTCTATTTTATGTGGGAAATAACACTGAAATGACAAAAGTTTGCTTGTGTTATGTTAGCTTATCTCAGTCTATAAAATCAACCTCTTTCTCTTTAGACTACCTCCATAAGAACACTAGTTTGAAAGAATGGCTCAACCTCTGATTTTAGACTTATGTCTAAAGGACAGATATATTTTAAAAGTAAACTTGTAGTATTTTTAAATATGGCTGGAAGCTTTGTAGGGAAGAAACAATATAAGGCCTTAGAAATAGATGAAAATCTCCTCTTAGAGGGCTGAGAAATTCTGAAAGATTTGAAAGCATGTCAAGAAGCATTGAAATCTTGTTAGCAGGAGAGAGATGTGATTCTTATTTAAATTTAATTAATTAGAGAGCTACTCTGAAGAATATGGTTGGATAGGGATCAGGGCAAAAACTAGCAGAGGTAGTGAGGGCATAGCTAGTTAAACTGTAACCTACGTTCAGATTGCATAGGCAAGTAAGATTTATAATTGCATATGTATGTATGTGTATGTATATATATACATACATATATATATATATATATATGGATAGTACATGTTAATGTCTGAAAATCAAAATACAAATTTTAGGAGTTGGTTATCTTTCTCTTCATATAGGCCCAGGAATGGAATTCAGGTTATCAGACTTGCTAGCAAGCACCTTTATCTGCTGAGACATCTTGCTAGTCATTTATGCAGATAATCTTGCTTAGAAAATAGATCTGTGAACATCAGGTGTAAGACACCAAAATAAGCTCATCTCAGTTATTCTGTGCATCCCATATCTATTGATAAGTGTCCTCACAACAAACAAAAGAGGAAAAGACACAGAGGATAAAGAAGGTCATGTGAAAGTGAGTTTAGTGAGTGTAGCATTGAAGCCCAAAGCCAAGGTACTCCTGGAATGGCAATGTGTGTTAGAAAAGACCATAAGAAAATCTATCCTGTGGATTCCTATGAAGCATAGCCTTGCTCAGATCTTGATTTCTACCTTCTAGACTCCAAAACAATGATGGATCACATGTGATTTGATTTTAGCCCTATCCGTTAAGGTAGCCTTCTAACGATCACTTCAGAAATCTAACACAGAAGGCTGTCATTAGTAAGACAGTGATTGGTGCAGAACAGCATTGAAACACTTACATGGGCTTGAACTTGTCACTGCTGCGTACTAAGTTATTCGTGTCCACCAAGGAAGGAGCCAGTTTCTTTGCTGTTTCAAGTATCATATAGAGAAAGCCCTGTGTATGCTTGACTTTGCCCAAGTTAATGGCTCCAAGAGTTTCTATCACTTTGCCCAGGCTTGACTGTGAACCTTGATGGGGAAACAGGTCAGCAAATGATATACCATTATTCCTCTTAACATTTGGTAAAGGCTATTCAGTGGGATTAAAGGGAATATGAGCATAGAATCATCAAGTCTTGTGTTAAATCATGACCAGCTTCATATGATAGAGGTTATATCCACGTCTTTTTATATTTTAAGTTTTATATGGTATCACAAACCCTAACAACTTAAGAGTACAGTTATATTCAGGAGTTATGAAATTAGGGAGAAACATGGTGCCAGGGAACCTCCCAGAAAAACACAAGGATGACCCCAGGAAAGACCCCTAGCAAGAGTGGAATTTATGCCTCAACTAGGCTTTCCCTGTAATAATACTAGTGACTTCCCTAATAGTTATCACAGAGACTTCATCCAGTAACAGATGGAAACAGATGCAGAGGTCCACAACTAAGAACTGTGCCTAGCTTCAATAGTCCAGCTAAAGAAGAAGGAAGGATTATATGAACAAGGAGCTTCAGATCATGATGGGAAACCCACAGAGACAACCAACCTGAGTTTGTGGGAGCTCAGGACGCTGAGAAGGCAGCTAGACAGCCTGCACTGAACTGACTTCGGTGTTCTGCATCTGGGTGAGAGCTGTGTAGTTTTGTCTGTTTGTGGGCCCATAGCAGTGGGACTAGGACCTGTCCCTGATGCATGAGCTGGTTCTCTGGAACCTATTCTCTATGGTGGGATGCCTTGCCAGCCGTGATGCAGTGGGGAGGAGCTTGGTCCTTCCTCAACTTGATACACCCTGCTTTGCTGACTCCCATGGGAGGCATTACCCCTTCTGAATGAAGACTGAGAAGAAGTGGATTGTGGGTGGTGAAAAGAAAAATAGAGGAGGGAGTGAGAAGAGAGGAGGAAGGGGAAACTGTGGTGGATATGAAATATTTTTTTTAAAAAGTACAGTTATAGCTACCAAACACAGTGAGTTAGAAGTATGGTAACTGAAATTGAAGGGACATTTCTATGTACTCAATCCTTTAAATTGTCACTATAAGGGTCTCAGTACCTATCTATTGCACTAATAGGACTCCTTTAACCCTTAATTACCTTGGTTAAGTCATAAAACTTTATTGGGTTCGTGAGAAGAGTGTGATTTAGTAAACATGGTTCAAAGAGCACACCGAAGTTGACTTTCGCTTTCTGTTCCTGATCCTGTGACATTTGCATGTCACTCAATCCCCTTCCAATCCAATAACAGCATTATCATGAAATACCAGACTTGGGATCAAGGTGAGCTATTTCTATGAGCTCATCATTACCCTCCAGGCAACTGAACCCATATGTGTGAAACCAGGTGAGACTAGCAGAGCTGCCTAATGATCCAAATTTCCTTCCCATGCAATTGTAAGCTAAAATAATTGTTGTTTTGAACTGATATTGAAAATTTGAAATTCTATATAACTAGATAGGATATTCCTGAGTAGTTTCTATTACATTTCTCATTTGATCCTTAATGAGTCTAGGTTTGGAATAGTCTTATAGTATTTTTTTTCTCACCAATCTTTGGTCTCCAAAATAGAAATTACTCAGTCCTTCGCACATAGCTAACAACTGATTCAATCAGGATTCAATCTTAGATCACATTTCTTTAGAAGGCATAGTCCTATTTACTAAAATATTCCTTTGAAATGTGACAATATAATAAAACAGATGGAATGGGAGGTTACATTGCCCCCATGTCTATGTTCTCCAGTAAAATATAGGCATGTTAAAGAAGAAATCTTAAGTCCTAAGGCAGTAAAAAACTACATTAAAATTTCCTTTGTACACTTTACACCCGGCAGCTCTTGAGAGTTCCCCTTGCAGGATGGTTGATGCTGATCCTAGAAACAGATAACAGCATGCTAATTGTCTATAGCTTGCAAAACTGTGTGGAATAGAAGGTGTTGTTCAAAAGGAACAGTGACTTACACCATGTGTACACAGGAGATAACAACAGCCACATATACCCTGGTTCTCTTACTTTGAATCTGTAGATGTTGTTTCCAGTTAACGACTTCTGATGAGCTGAGGAACTTCTGACAATTCTCGGGATCCTTAGAGTAGATTAGGTAAGTGTTGGTGTAGTGGTCAAGATCATCTTGCATGTTCTGTTTTCAATAAGAATAAACCAAATTGTTTATGGATGAGTTTGTGTTCAGTAATATTGGTATTCAGTTTTCAGCTATATTGTGAGATACTAAAATCCTAAAAGTAATGTCTCCTGTGGATTTATGTTGTAATTATTTACAGTGCAAAAACAAGAGAAAAAGCCTTGACTCAATTCAAAGTAAAATCACCCTGAACAACACTACCCAAACTCAAGAGAAACTAAAGTACTATAAAATTCATTTAGAAGAATCAAAATAACAAATTAAAAGAAAAACATTTTTCTAAAAGAATACTCCTTGCTCTGGGCTATGAATACTCTGCTATTAAAGTCTATACTGAAAACAGAATCAGCAAATGAACCTATAAATATGGAGCCAATGCTAAAACTAGTCAGGTAGGTAGTTCTTCAGAAAGATGTTATTATTTTTAAGTAAATGACAACCTCACAAAGCAAGTAAGTGAGCATATTATGCATATATGTGTACATATATAGACATATGTGGAACAAGTCTGCAAACCAAAAATGGGACTACATAAATATTAAAAAACATATCACAGAAATATTACTTCTACTAATGTATAATCTGAATGCTTTTGCTCTTCTAATTTTCATGAAATATCTAAAATGTTGTATACTGTATAAAGATATGGCAGATCAAAGTACTTATTTTCTTGTTCTGCCTTATTAAATATTTAAGGCTCCTTCAACACTCGTGCTGGCAATTTTTTTTCCACCTGGTATTGAGGGTAAATTCTAATTCTCTCCCTGTAACATCAACCACCCAAACCACTCTTTTTTCTACCTTCTTTTATTGACTTTGCTGTAGATAACTGGTATAGAAAGCAGAGTAGCATCTCAATGGGAAGCTGATATTGCAACGAACATTTATGATGGGGTGAGAATGAGCTGGATTATTTTAAGTCCAGTTATTTTTTTATTTTCATTTCTATGTGGCTTTTATTTTATTTTTTATTTTTCCATTGAAATCTGTTTTGCCCTAAGATAACAATTGTCAATGGAACTAAGAACTAACTTGTTACAATATACTAACTTAGCCTAGGTTATGCCCTTTTTCCCCCTAAAGACTTCCTTCTTTTATCGTATGGATATAAATGTTTTGCTTGCATGTATGTATGTGAGTGTTGCGTGTTGAGATCAGAAGAGGGTGCCAGGTTCCATATAACTGGAATTCCTCACAATTGGCAGCCACCATATGGGTGCCTGGATCCAAACCCTAGTCGTCTGCAAGAACAGCAAGTGCTCTTAACCACTGAGTGATCTCTCCAGCCCTCGGGAAATGTTGTTTTGATGTTCATAATAAAAGGTCAAGACATTTTTTGTGTATCAACATGATTTTATGTTGATAATACTTTCCATCACTTGTCTCTAAATCCTACAAACAAGATGTAAGAAATAATAAAGCGATAAAGTGTGCTTGCAGTTCAAATCAGTTACTGCTGATGGAGGAACTATGCTGCCCAGTAAGCAAAAGCGTGGATAAAAATGAAAGTGTGTTATCTGTACCTTTAGTTACCATTCTCCATGGCTTGTTAGTGTACCTTTGTGTATTTCCTTTCTTGAATGTTTTATACCATTCTGTAATTTTTGTAGACTTCAGGGTATTGTTTCATATTAATACAATTCATGTCTATTTTTCATGATGGGAATAGGCAGTGGCATCAACCATCCAGCCAGACTCATGCTAGGAATGCAACACATGTGGAGATACAGGCATATTTACTCTATATTGCAACTTACCTCCTCCTGGGGTCGAATAACAACAGTGTTAAAATCAGGCCACTTGTCCACCAGAGCCTTGAGTTTGAATGGGTTTCCCTGATTCATGTGGAAGACAGTCCCATAAACCTAAGTATTTCAAGCCAGCAGAAATTTCATCATATTACAAAGAGGTGGAAAGCTGCAGCATATTTGACTAGAACAATGATCATTCCTATGAGAATATTATTTTTTTGGAAGGATGTACTAGATGAATTTTTCAAATGGTTCCTAGTGTCCAGTTGCTTGTTCTAACAACAGTGTCTTTTAATCATTGAGACAAAATATAAAAAAAGATTCAATTTACTAATAAACTCACTAACTCTCTTGCTTTTGAATCTAATAAAAGTGTTTTATGTATCAGATTTATTTCTTTTCATGTGCAGACAAATATGAATGATGAGACATTTCAGAAATGGTTTCCATTCATTGCCAGTCTTTTTCTTTCTATGCCTTGAAGAATTTTTGTGATTGCTGCATTAATATTCATACTATGTCATTTTTAGATCTGTATCATCTGGCTGTTGATATGTGTGGATCACTGTTTCTCATCTAAGTTAAGATTTAGTCAGGGTTAGTAATACATGTCTGTTATGTCAGATAAAAGGGAGGCTGAGGCACTCTGATTAAAAATTCACGGACTACCAGGTATAATCAACAACCTAAATGCCTCTTGACTGAAGAAGGGATAAGGAAAATGTGGTACATTTACATAATGGAGTACTACACAGCAGAAAAAAATGACACCTTGAATTTTACAGGAAAATGAATGGAGCTAGAAAACATTTTTTTTGAGAGAGGTAACCCAGATATAAAAAGAGAATTATCATATGTACTCACTCATAGGTAGATTTTAAACATAAATCAAAGAAAACCAGCCTACAAACCACAATCCCAGAGAACTTAGACAGCAATGAGGACACTAGGAGAGACTTACATAGATCTAATGTACATGTGAAGTAGAAAAAGACAAGATCTCCTGAGTAAATTGGGAACACAGGGATAATGAAGGGAGGTTGAAGGGGAGAGGAGAGAGGTAGGGAGGGGAGCAGAGAAAAATGTTGAGTTCAATAGGAATCAATAAAATTATCCTGTTTGTAGCCTGCTAGAGTTGGGGACACAACTAAAGCAAAATTAAATAAGATCAGAATCCTTTTACTTAGTATCATTCAATATGATTTCAACTAAATAGTGATTTGTCATTTAAGAATCAGGAAAATTATTTTTTCTCTACTGGCAATTAAACCAAGGACCGTGCAAAGGTTAGGCAAACACTATTATTGATGTACATCTCCAACTTTCTTTCAAGTTTTTATTTTTTGACTGGGTCTGGCAAAATTTGTGATTATCTTTCGGGAGTAAACAGTGACATTTGTTTTAATCTTTGGGGAGCAGCATTTGCCTTTTTAATGCTGTGCAGGTGACAAGGTTGAGACTTCTTTCTGCTCTGGTAGCATAAGCATAGGTGAGAGGAATGTCATGGTGCCAGTGCGCAGTGAGTCTTGACTCTTTCCCTCCTCTGCCTTACCACGGTGTAATCCTCAGTCCCTATGAAAACATTCTACTCTCACCTTTAAGGTCTCAGGCAGGTGCTTCCTCAGGGAGTTCTCCAGAACCTGAAGCATCTGAGAACCCTGTAAGTAGAACATCTCCTCCGATACCTTAAGTGAAAAGATTAGTGACAATAGCAAGTCAGGAGTGGGAAGATTTTTACACAATGTGTCCAGACTACCTCTAAAATAAGGAGTCACAGACATATAAACATCAGGAATTCATTTCTCACAGGGCTGGGAAATCTTGTTCGAGACATTGGCATGTACCTTGTCCTCTAGAACTCTGTTTTCTATCAGATACACCCTCTAGCTGTGCCTTCTTGGGATGGAAGGAGTAGGTTTGCTCTCAGGAGCTTAACCTATGAAGGCATTCAAAACATCTGAAAAGGTGTCACAGAACCTCTCCCAAGGGCCTCCAGCTCCTGCTAGTTCTCATCATATTGGCAAGACCTTCGAACATAGGACCCTTGGAGAGATGCAAAGATTTAAATAATAGCAATGCTAAACCAGTAGGATCTGGATCTACACCAGCCTTTTCTCATATCTCCTTTTTTTTTGTAGTCATATCTAGCCATATCACTGCTGAAGGTATGTATCAGCTGTTACAGTTCCCTGGTAGAATTTTTGAGGTCTCTTATTTCTGTAACTTGTGATACTTGGATGTTTTCCTGGATAACTTGTATTCCCCTTGATCTCCTTCAGTTGTCTATTGCACTAGCTAAACCTTCCAGTATCTATTGAATTTTTATGGCGAGTGTGGACAACCTTGTCTTGTTCAATTTTACTGGTCTTGTTTTGAGTTTCTCTCCATTTAATTTGAGTTTGGCTGTAAATTTCCTTTATTATATTCCTTTATTATAATGAGGTATATTACTTGTATCTCTAGTCTCTCCAAGATTTTTATCATGAAAGTGCTTTGGATTTTCGTCAAAAGCTTTTTATTAGTAGGGGACATCAGAATAGATAATCGTGTGGTTTTTGGATGTCAATTTCTTTGTATGTTGGATTACATTGATTGATTTTCATATGTAAAGCTGTCCATTCATCTCTGAGGTGAAACCTACTTGGGCATGGTAGATAATCTTTTGGATGTTTTCTTAGATTTGATTTGCAGTCTAAAAATAGTTTTACATCTATGTTCATAAAGGAAATTAGTCTGCAATTTGGATGATTGTGCCCTCATAAAATGCATTTGGCAATGTTCCATCTTTTTCTATTGTGAAATAATTTGATGAATATTGGTATTAGCTCATCTTTGAAAATCTGATAGATTTCTGTGCTAAAAACATCTGACCCTTTGCTTTTTTTTTGGATTGGGAGACTTTTAATAACTATTGTGATACTATAATTTAGACATTATAGGTCTATTTAAATTGATGCCCATTTTTCTTTTTATTAGTAAATATGTTCATATAATATATTTTGATATTTTCCACCTCTCCCCAACCCTAACTCCTTCCAGATCCTCACCACCTCCTTACTCACTCAGTTTCATGTTCGCTGTCTCTCTCTTTCTCTCTCAAATATAAACCAAGAAACAAAAATGAAAAAATACAGGATGAAACAAAAATAAAAATAATAAAAAATGGAAAAGGGCAATAAAAATACCATGAAAAGCAAAAGAAAGCAAAAGTTTCACAAAAGTGTCAGAAAGTTTGTTTTGTGTAGTTAGTATACCCAGTGACACCTCATCTGAGAAAACAGATTTTACTTTTTACAGAGGCTATCATTTTCCAAAAGCTATCTCCTTGGTTGTAGGTGGAACCCTGTGCTCACTGTGTTTTCCTATATCTGTGGTGGGACCCCATTTGACCTGAAACTATACAAGTCTTGGTGTGTTGCCATAATCTCTGTGAGTTAATGAATACATTAGTCCCATTGTGTCTGAAAGACACCATTGCCTTGGAATCATCAATCCCATCTGCCTATTATAATCTTTCAGCCTTCTCTTTCACATAGATCCCTGAGTCTTGAAAGGAGGGGTTTGATGAAAATAAGAGGGTTGAAAGGGATGAAGGAGATAGAGAAAGGAGCAGAATAAAATGTAAAGCTCAATAAAAATTAATAAAACATGTCTTATTTATGTCAAAGAGCTCCAAAATCATCCTCAGAACATTGTCTAGTTTTGGGTTTCTGGGCTAATTCCCGTCTACTAGAAGAAGAACTTTCTATGTTGTGAGTTGAGAGAGTACTGATCTATGGGTATATCGGTATGTCATTAGAAATCATTTTATTTCTATGTTTCTTTAGTAGAATAATACAATGTTTTCCCCAAGTTCATGGTCTATCTAACATTGGTTCTTGGCCACTGTAGCACTATAAGGTATGTGCTACATTAGACAGAGAGGGCCTTAAATGTGATTTTAAAAAGTGGTTGGTTACTCCTATAACATTTGTGCCATTATTGTACTGGTATGTCTTGCAGGTAGGTCACTGTTTTATGTCACAGCGTTTGTAACTGAAAATGTTGATGATTACCTTTCTCTTCCAGTGGTGTGCAAAATATCTTCCAGTAACATGGACACTATTCAGTAGTGTGAAACTTCTCGTTATGCACCAGCTCAACTTCTTTATTCTCAATGCTATAAGTAAGTGTTGGTCTTAGCAATAGGTCCTTACCATCAGATTGTAGAGAGGAACCAATGAATTTACAATAGCCTGTGATGTCTTGGAATATCATGGGATCCCTTGGTCAATAACTCAAAAAGATTCAATGTGATCCTGGCTCTGGAGGTTTAATTTCATGGCTTATGATATCTAGTTGAGGCCCTGTCTCCCATATTATTTGGAGACTTCATTTAAATTATTTTCATATTCATATATATTCTAAGAAGTTTCTACATCAGTAAATTTCTGTGTTTTCCAAGCGACATTTAGTATTGTTTGTCTTGCTATTTTCTTACCATTCTTATGTTGTCTGTAGTTTCTATATAGTATTCTTTTCCTCATTGATGTTAATGTTAATACATGCGCTTTATTTGTATTTTTTGGTAACATTACAGCAGAGATATTCAAGTTGGACTCTATAGCATTTTAACCAAGATAACTCGTTCTTTGTTTTTGAAGACAATCATGTACACTGCTGACAATATAACAGAATTGACAGATTTTCAGTAGATGCTAGTAGCAACACTTTATCTCTTGATAAAAGCAGCAAAAAGGTTTCTTACATTTATTCCAATGTCCTGGAATGTAACAAAATAGTAGGGGGCTAATATTCCTATAGGCAACTGATTTTTTTTCCTCTGGAAACATTTTTCTGAGCGTGTCTTAAACACAAAAGGCAAAGTAAATTTGGTATAAAATCATAGGCATTGTTATAATGTCAGCAAATTGGAATACATGAGACTGTTTGAGAAATATGGAGGAACACAGACACACAGACACACACACACACACACACACACACAAATAAACGAATAATAATGTGCAATGGCAACACAAGTGATGTCCAGTTAAAGGAGCAGATTGCAGTCCGAAGAGGCTTTCGGAATGGGAACTCTTAGCATTGTTAGTGGATAAAATCCTTGTGGTCTTTAGGGTCTTCAACAGAGTTTTTACTTTATTGAAAATATACCTACATAGAACTAGTCAAAGATAATGAATCCAAAGAATAGATTTTATAAAACCTTTAATGAATGGAACAAAAATGAAATGTTTATATCCAAACTATGATGAGATTGTATAATTATAAGCTCATGGTCTGTCACTACTCTAAGTAACTGTTAGTGTAAAAATTCTTCTACATATGTAGAAGTGGAGAAGTATTAAATTAAAGAATGAAACATAAAATACACAGTATTTTGATTAATTTTGTGTAAGCTTATGCATATTTCACATGCATTAATCATCACAATAGGGAAGAATACAAAAAATAAATTAAGATAAAAATCAAAATTTTAGAAATAACTCATTACATGAGCAATATAGATCAAATCTTTTAGGTTAGCTTTCTTTTAAATAATATCGATTAGCAGTGAAAACACTTTATGTTCTTCATATTTTTTATCATATTCCTTCTTCGATTTGTCTGAGACATTTTACTCTCCTGGTAAGTATCCAATGAAAAAGAATTAAAGACATTTTCAATTGTCCAGCATCCCTGTGCTATTGGAACTGAATAAAAGTTGCTGGAGCATATGTAATACTTCTTTGCAAATATTGCTAACCAAAGGTACTGCCTAGCTTTCACAATAAATCCATAGTTCTTATCTGTTTGGAATGGAAACCTGCCATAGATCTTTCAAGAATTTTGACATCAACAAACACACCAAACTAGATGGAAAAAGTCCAAAAGGCCTCAAAACTACACAAAGAACTACAGTCCGGGGAGGAAATCTGCGAAATGAAGAGGTTTCCTTCCCCCAAGGAAGAGCACACCAGTTTGTTGTTCAGTGTCAAATTGTCCTTAAATATGTGTATAGCTACAATTTTACAGAGCAGGTTAGTTATATTTAGGAATATATGTATATAAATATTTACATTCATTAAAAATTAATTCAAAAAGGCAGTGAATTTGAAATAGAGCAGGAAGGGGTATATAGGAAGTATGGAGGGAGAAAAATGGAGAAATAACGTAATCAAATTATAATCTCAAAATAAAAATTAAAGATTTTTCCTATGGCCAACATTAGTAGGTATATGCACTTCTCAAGTTGAATAAACTCCCCTTTTACACCCACAAAAAAGATCAATATTTCCTTTCTAAAACCAACGTTTGATTTTTTTCCACCTTGTATAAGAGAAAGGACAGGGGATCACCATTCTTCTATGATAAATCCTTACCTATAAATCTGCATCCACACAGAGCTTGCTCAGAACAAATAACAAGCAGCAGATCTTTCCTGAAATGCTAGCATTAACAGTGTTTTGGTAAATGTTTTACATAACTATTTGGACTGAGGATGTACTCTGGACTTTGATTTTCATTCAAAAATAGGAAAGCACAATTTTGGCTGTCTTGAGAGTCAGAAGTATCCAGTATCCCCACAGATGTGTGCCCAGGAAGATGACTTTGCAGATCTGAGATCCTGATTGTGTTTGCCCTCTCAGCTTTTCATACATCATTATTTTTTTTGGACCATAGGAAAACAGTTGACTAGGACTAGACAGAATCTGTGACTGTCTAGAAAATGTCTTTACTCATTGCCTGATGTGGAATTTCCCTCTGTATGCTGCAAACATGTTTATTATGCTCTGTTTACATTTTTCCCCTTCCCAGTTTCCTGCTGCAGTAACAAAAGGGAAGTCAGAAGTGTTGGGTGAAATTAATTCTGAAAAAAATTAGAGTTTCTTATCCATGCACTGTCAGGGACCAGCCCAGACATAAACCATTTCTTGTACCAGAGTGGAGGTGTGGGAATAAATGAGGTACAGTTCACACGACAATATCAGGAGGGAGTCTCAGGGTTCATTCAAATCCTGAAGGTTACCCACATTTATTATCCAAACAGCTTTTATTTCAAATCATAAACTGAGGGGGAAATTCATTAGCATTCTGTTTCCTAGGTAGCAGGGGAAATGATCTAAGTCACACCCACAGCTGTGCTCCTTGTCAATCCATGCCCCTGCTCATTTTCTCACATAGACTGAGAAGCACCTCTTCCCCAGGTGACCTCCTAAATTACAATAGAAGGAACAGAACAACATTAACATATGCTGACCACTTGCTTAGGGTGGCATCAGGTTGTCTCACTATCAAAATGTTAGGTGACCACCTTCTGTGTGGGAGTTGCAAATTGTGCCTTTCAGGTCGCACAGAATTCTGACTGCCATACAATGTAGTTATACGGGCCTCTATAATCCTGCCCCTACAATCGATTCCCTTTTATTAATTTTAATACAACCTCTGCCTCTGCAACATGACAGATGATTGCATCTGTCTTAGGCAAAGACTTCTTCATTTACCCACACTTACTCAACATCAGAAAAAAGCATTCTAATCATGCAAGTTCCTGTCTTAGGCATCTGGGGAGAAGCTTCAAACCCATCTCTGACTGAAAACCTCTGTGAAACAAAACAGATTAAGGGAGAGAAATACCTTTGGGTTCTCTGCCATAGAGATGACCAGACCCTAAATGTATCCATTACATCACCGATTCCAAACTATGACAGCATCATGGTGCTGCAATAGTCACTGTGGAGCCCAGGGTGCAAAGTCTATACCAGATTGTTCAGATCCCCACATAGACTTGCTCTCGAAGTGCTCTGCCAGATAAGTACTTTTTGTAAAGATTGAAGTAAGTTTCTACCTCTTCAAATCTACAAAAAACAAAAGACGACTGTAAAGTCAATGACAATCAAGGAACCATCAACATATATTAACAGGTACCCAAAATAAAGTGTTAGTGACTCATAACTAGAGTGAGATGCATAAGATACCTGACAAGAAACTCAAAATATCTGCTTTAAAGATGTTCAAAGAACACTTTGAGTTTTCTAAAGGTTTATTGCTTTAAAAAGTTTCAAATAAGGTAGAAATACAATAATTGAACCAAAATGAAAATAAATATTTATTGACATATTGAAATATAAATTTTTTAAAAATCAAATAAACCCTGAATCTGAAACACAATAAATAAAATTGAAAACATAATGGAGAACATTGACAGTAGAATAGATCACGTAGAAGATATAGTCCGTGCTTTTGAAGATGGGACATTCAGAAACACAATTTCAAGAACAAAATGAATGAAATAGATCGAAGAAATGATCTTTGTCTTGATTTATTTTATTTGAGGGACTGAATTATAAACTCAAATGTTTCATGACACTGGAATTTTCTCACTCCTACTTTGCCTTTCAGAGATAAATAATTAAGCATTAAGCCGCTCCCCCGACTTTGGCTTTTTAATCTTTAACTTCAAAGCCTCCAGAAAGATGGGACAAGAAATTTCTGTTAATTATAAATTACTGGTTTTGGTATTCTGCTATAATGGTGCAGACTGAGACAAAATGTATTTGTAACAAACTCTGCTATCAGAGTTGAGTATCCTTACACAAAAATTATGTCAAATATAAAGTGTAACCATATATCCCACAAAATAATCTCCATGCAAACATTTCTAAAAAGTAGTGTATTTTTATTTTTGCTGCTTTTCATTGAAAAAAAATTCCAGGCAATATATTTTGATCATATTTTTCCTTACTTCTAATCTTTCCAGATTCTTCATACCTAACAAACTTTATGTTCCTCCTCTTTCTCAGAACAAACACACAAAACAAAAAAAACCCACAATAACAGAAATCAAAATACACAATCAAAAGAACAATAAGAAAAAAACCTTCCCAAAACAAAGCAAAATGAGACGAAAAGTCTACAAAAAACCATTGAGTTTGTTTGGTGCTAGGCAACTACCAGTGGGTATGGGGAATGCCCTGATATGTGGTTAATACATCCAATGAGATTCTGTGGACAACAGCAGATGTTTTCTTTACCAGTGGCTGTCAACTGCAGATAACTTATTTGTTAGGAATGGGAGGCTGTCACCTTGGTACTCTGTCCCTTTAAGAGACAAGCCCTGCCCACTGCCAACCCTTCCCTTGTGCCAAGACAAGCAGCTCTCCTACCCTCTCGCTCTGTGTCTGTCTGTCTTCTTCTGGAGAGGCAACCTTTGCTTCTCTCTTCTCTTCCTCTGTTGACTCTTGACTGAGGTTTCTGTCCTGCCTGGTCCCATATTTGTTAAGTCCCAAAGAAATACAGAGAGGGTGACAATTATTATAAACTGGTTGGTCTATCAGCTCAGACTTCTTATTGTCTCTTTCTTACATCTTACATTAGCCCACAATTCTTGTCTGTGTTAGCCATGTGACTTAGTGCCTTTTTCAGTGAGGCTTTCTCATCTTGCTTCCTCTGTATCTGGGTGACAACAGCAGACTGAGCTGCCCTCTTCCCAGAATTCTCCTGTTCTCATTGCTCTGCCTCTATTTCCTGCCTGGTTGTCCCATCTATACTTCTTGCCTAGCTACTGGCCAATCAGCATTTTATTAAAATACAATTTACAAATCTTTACAAAGTACAAGACCATTCCCACAGCATTCCCCTTCTCTATTTGCCCCCTTCCTTTCTCCTTCCATAACCAACTTAACAAACTCTATACCCAAGCTGTCTCTGCATGGCTTTTCTATCTGTCTGTCTCCTACCAAGGCCTCAGGCCACTGGCTAGAGGACCCACCAAAGCCTCGGATGAACCGCAGTTGCCCCTCGTGTGGCTGTCCATAGGTCAGCAGCATTATAAATTACAAACAATTTGGCTTGAGATTTTTGTGGGACTCTTACCAGTGGAATTGGGGGTGTCTCTGACATTATCATTTGGAAGGCAGTAGGTGGCATACAGGAGGTGACAACTAATATCCAGAAGGTCGACTCACCAGATTAATGACTCTCTGATAGGGAGCCCCACCTAGAAGAACTGTAGTTACTGACTGCAAATGAGCAGTTGCTCTTGTCTGTAATTTCTCTCATGTGTCACTTCATTTCTTCTGTAAGAACTGCATTTCTTCCCTAAGAAGAGCTATAGGTGCGTTCCAACTGCTTGTGTTTTTATCTCATGTATATAATCCCTCTATTGGGCACACATATAGTTGTCAAGAGTCATAGGGATGATATATGCTTAATCTGTATAATTTTGATGAATATAAATAATACTAGGATATTTTTTATTACTCAAACTTACATAGAAAAACAATAGTATTCTCATTCACAAAGACAGTTAATTTTAGACTTTAGAACAGTTTCAAAGCAAACTGGTTGCCCTGGAGATGAATATTTGGTTTCCCCTAGAGACAAATACATGAGATCAATTTCCCAAATGTTCACTGCTGACTCAAGGTCAGAGATTGAGGCAACTTTAGTAGACATAACTTTCTCAGCGATTGACTTTTTGCTCCACATGTTACTCAGTAATGCTGTCTGCTTTTACTATACTAGAAAGCTATGCAAGGAGAATAGGTCATATTATTTGAGAAACTCATTGCGTTTATAACTAACTCAGCATGGCTACGATCATGCCAAGCTGAGTCCCTACAGAGTACCAATTACAAAACAGAGCTTGTTAATTCCAAATTGCTTTGGAAAAGAATTCTAGGGAAAAAAAGCACACTAGGCCTTTTCTCATTTTCTGGATTGCCGAGAATTTTTAAAGATTATTTTATTCTAATTGTGCGAATATACATGTGTTTGTATCTATGTGAGTGTATATCATGTGTATGGGGGCGCTTGTGGGAGCCAGTGGGGGGATGTCACGTCCCTTGGAATTAGAGTTACAGGTATTTGTGAACCACCTGACATGGGTGTTTATTCAAACTCCAGTTCTCCTGGTTTAGCAGAAAGTGTTGATGACTACCAACCCATTTCTCTAGCCTAGAGTGTTTTGTTGTGCTATTGATTTCTGATATTTTGTTTACAATACTTAAAAGCTGGCCAATGAGCTCTTCTTCCCTGAAAGTGCAGCTATTAAGTAACTGTATCCAGTAAACTCTTTGGTAATCTTGTGAGGCCTCTGGACCCCTCTTCAGGATAAATGATGGGCTACTTAGTAAATTAAACATATGGATTATGGAGAAAGCAAACTGATATTGAAATACACTTATTTAAGTTGCAAATGATGATTAACTCCATAGCTAACAAATATCTAATGGCAAAGTCTAATAGTGAGTGCCACTATTTATTAAATTATTATATTATTACATTAAATATTTAAAAAAGGTGATGTTTCAGTTTACCCTCAGCAAAAGAAATCAGACATAAAATTATATTGTCAGCATTAAGGGCACAGCAGGCAGGAATGCACATTTACTGTAATCTTATGTATACATTCATATTAGAAGGAAATGCTAATATGTAGTTTGGAGTTCATGAAAATCAATCATC